CTATGACAGAGGTTCAGTAACAATATGCTGAATAGGTGAGCATGTTTAAATAGACACGAACAGAAGGTTAGATAGAAAAGTGCTCAACACATTAGGCCAGGTTTCAAAATGAGGAAGTGATCTGGGAGTCCTTTCCGAAAGTTTCTTTAGTTAGAGCTGAGGAATAATCTGAAACTGTTTATCTTAGATTCCGTATCAACCCTGACAGCTTAGAATTCTAGACTTACACTTACACTTTACAGTTATGAGTTATATCACTACAAACTTTCGACCTAATATGACCGTTAGACACTCTCACTGCAAAGAGACACAAACATTGTCCACTTTTAGCAGAACATCCCAGATTTCCTGCATGAAAGCGAAGGTGATAGGAAAAGACGGAGACTAAAAACACAAAGGACTGGAGAATAACAATCAGAGAGTCTTCTTCTCAACCTATCTAGGGACCATCCCGGTTCAATCCCTTTGTCATATTTTAAAGCAATTCTAGTTTATCCATATTCCATAAATGTATAATACTTACATAAATTATACATCTGAGTAACAAGATTTGAACTTTATTTAATTGTTTCAACCATGTAATAATGTGTTGAACTAAATTAGTGTAATTCCTTCAATCCTTGATTAATTTCTCATTCATTATACAAGTTTGATTGTGTGTTGTTTTACTGAGAAGGATGAGAATCATGATCAAACTGTGCATCATTAAACGACAGTCGTTGCCTTTGCGAATTGAAAATGCTGTAAAGATGTAATTTATAGTTTGCTTAACTTTCAAATATTCACAATTCCAAATAACTTCTCTTGTAGAATGGAAATAAAAGGTACCGTTTAAAGTTTATCGTTATATAGAAAACTGAGTTTATGGTATTTAGTGTATGCTAGTCAAGCTCTAGTCACGTAACAGTAACACGAACGGCAGAGCGTACCGTACGGTAGAAATGAAACGAGTAAATTTAAATGGAGGAATAATTAAATAGCTAAGTAATACAAAGTGAACGTCAACAGATAAAAGCTCCTCAGTTCGCTCCAAACGATTGACGTGAATTATATAGATCACTCGACCATCATAAAAGATAGTGCTCAGTCAGTTCGAATTCCTTAAAATGATTAAGGGGCAACAAAGAAGTGAGCTATCCACTTCCGCCTCTCCGGGTATACTCTCATAACTTGTCACGCCATACTGCGTGACGGCACAACGCATCTGCTTGCACACATGACTCGCAGTCTCGCCAATGAGCACTCCACTAGCAGTCACCCTGCGGCCGCAAGGACCAACCACAGGCTTGGCTGACAGTCAGGTGCAAAAGTGAGCGGACGGCTCATTTCAGACAGTAGGTCTGACAGCAGGTCTGCCAGCCAACCGACTTATTACACTCAAATGTGTAACTCCCAAATACGAACATATAAAAACATTGGTTATTATATACCTGGAAACACATACTAAAATCTCCGTCCCTTAAACGTTATACTAAAACTAAGATATCCTAAAAGATATCTCTAAATACCATATTACAACAGTTAAGACCCAGTAAGAAGCCCTTCAGCTCGGTTTTAGTCCAGAAACAGGCGATCTTGGTGTTGGTTACCTACCTTTATTGTGTTTCTTTTGACTTTGCTATCGTGCTGATCTGCTCTGAAAATTGTGATAGAACCTGTTCGAGTTGTTAACGAGACAATCTCCTTGTTCTTTCGTTGCAGAATCAACATGTTCTTTGTTTGAGTAACACAAGAATTTTGAGGAATAAGGAAGCGTTATAATTGGGCTGTAAAACCAACTTAAATCGATTTCTCGTGCAATGTTGTACAGGTGAGGAACAGTCACCAAAATGAGTTGCTTACCTGCTGTGTTTTGTCGTACTCTGCTCTTCGCTCAAGTTCGATCAGTTAAGGTGAGGATTGCCTCGATCTTTCGGTTTCAGCCCTAGGTCAAGAGCTGTAGAACCGAAAGATCAAAATATATGTTGCTTGTTGCTCGCATTCTAAATTATAAAACATCAATTTTGAGGGATAAGGAAGTGTTAATAGGTTCTGAAACCTAGCTAAATAGATTTTTCGTGCAATTTTAGGTCAGGAACGGTCATTAAGATGAGTTTTCAGTCAATGATTACGCTAGTGTAATTTTGACACAATAGCTATGTTTAAAACTGATTACAGAGGGGGAAGGGGGTTACAAATTGGACAGAAGTGATGTGTGAACGGTCCCTAACGGTACGTGGATTTCTATGCTGTATCTGAATCCTTATCCAGCGGTATCACAGTCACCATATAATTAACCTGATTAAGATACTGATGACTAATCAACATCCATGGATTTTGCGCGGCCTCCTTTATTAAATTATTCTGCATTTCTTCTCTACATATCTGAAAAAGCAGTTTTCGCTGGATATTTTGCCTCTTCTGCGAAGCCTGAACAGTCAACATTTCTCAGAGTTGAAAAATACGTGAGATAATTTTTTAAATACGCCGTATTTAACGTTTTTTTGCTTAGAAATAAAATACGTCAAAAATACGTTAAAATACGTTTGCCTATTTTTTTCGTAATTGCATTCAAAAACTTAATAAGTTATGTATTTCGTTCGCAATTTTTTCAGACACATCGTCATTACGGTTCAATTTCATTTATTTTGTTCCCTTGAACGGGATTGGAATTTACTTTTGGAATTGAACGCAGAAAAATATTCATATTTGTGTAGAAAATCGTCCGTAAAAAAGTTTCAATAAATACACAATTAAGAACACAATTACTCAGATGAATCGTAATCATCATTGAAATCACATTTCTCCATGTTTTGGATAAGTCGAAGGTTGGCATTAATGCCTACTAGCTTTATGGCCTTATCCGTTGCTAGTCTATTTCTGCGTTTATCAACAATATATTCCCAAGAGGACCAGTTAGTTTCACAGGCAGAAGCACTACAGACGAGGCTCAGAATTTTCTTCGCCATTACAACTACAGTGCAGAGCTACGCGAGTTTTAATCAAACTTTTAACTTGTATAATTAGAAATAGTACTTATTATTTCATTGGAGCTCTTAATGCTACAAAATCACTTGTAACGTATTTTAACGAATTTTATTCAGCGAAAATAAAATACGCCGTATTTAACGTTTTTTTGATATTTTATAAAATACGTTAAATACGTATTTTTCAACTCTGACATTTCTTACTGTTTTTTAACAACAACTTGTTTAGGGGTCGTTCACATATTACGTAATCAGCCGAGGGAGGAGGGAGGGGGGTTTCCAAATGATTACGCTAGTGTAATTTTGACACAATAGCTATGTGTATATTTTTATGTATGGCTAAATCACACTAACGTAAACATATCCAACTCCAATCCTCATCAGTCCCTAGTGATAATATGTGAACCCTTACGTTAAAAGAAACACAATTAGTAAGTAACAAATTTAGTGAATCCAAATTGTACATCATATCATGCCAACGAATCCGGAATCTGAGGTTATGTTTATAATACCTGATCTATATTGTAATGTCATGTTTACTCTCACTTTGCAAGCTATTCAATGTTTAGTGTGGTAAATGAAAAGTCATAATGCGGAGTACGCATAGACTTGTCGACTCAATCAGCTCACCTTAACATAACACTAATACAAAGCCGAACAGCACGAGGTACGTACAAAAACTTATGGAACAAAAGTCTTGAAAACAAGCTGCTGTAACACCGGATAACGACAATTTGTCGTTAGCGTGTAGTACTAGTTGTAGATGCGACAGATTGTTTCATTGTTTTTCTTGGGCAACTCCAAATCATTACACTAGTGTAATGATTTGGCAAACGGTACGTGGATTTCTATGGTGTATCTGAATCGTTATCTAGCGGTATCACAGTCACCATAACTAACCTGATTAAGATAACTAATGAAAATCCATGGATTTTGCACTACCTCTTGATTAAATTATTCTGCCGTTATTATTAAAAATGACCACCTGATCATTTCTTCAGTACATATCTGAAAAAAAGTTTTCGCTGGATATTTTGCCTCTTCTGCGAAGCCTGAACAGTCAACATTTCTTACTGTTTTTTAACAACAACTTGTTTAGGGGTCGTTAAGGGGGGGGGGGGGGGGGGGGGGGGGGGGGGGGGGGGGGATTTGGCCGCCAAATTTTAACAAAATTTGGCGGCCAAATTCCAAAATTTGCAATGCGAAATTCAGAATTTGGCCGCCAAAATTCTGTCCCAAAACTTAAGGTCGAAATGCGATTCTACGTTGATTCTGAAAATTTCATGTAAAAATATTGAAACCTTATTGAGTTCTATTGTTTTGAGCGAAGTCAGTTTTGCAAATATCGCGAACTGAGATATGGGCAATTTTGTTCATTTTTTGCGATTATTTGAACACAGAATCCACAGTTAGGTAGATACTGAGCTGATAATCATAGATAGTGTGTAGTTTAGGCTCACCTTCCATTTGAAGTTAGTTTCATTCAAAAATATTGATATTTGACCAATATATGGGCCAAAATCGATCAAATTTGGTGCGTATGCCCAAATATGGTCATATGGTTTTTTGCTCATAACTCAGTCATTTTTTGTCCAATCTTGATGAAAATTCATATACGTGTTCAGAGGACCACTAGCTACAAGTAGAGCACCTAAAATCTGGATTTTGGGTCACTGGTCACTGGTCCTAGTTTGTTGGAAATCAAATTTCACAAAAAAATCAGGGTGAACCCCCCCCCCCCCCCCCCCCCCCCCCCCCCCCCTTAACATATTACGTAATCAGCCGAGGGAGGAGGGAGGGGGTTTCCAAATGATTACGCTAGTGTAATTTTGACACAATAGCTATGTTTAAAACTGATTACGGGGGGGGGGGGGGGGGGGGGGGCAAATTGGCCAAAAAGGGATTACGTTATATGTGAACGGTCCCTTATGACATAAATATCAATGAGCAAATCATTTTGAGTTGTTCTTTAGTACTGTCCGATTGTTTATTTACTCTCATAAATTTTGTTATATCTTTGGCATTATGCCATGGTCTCAACACTTTTATGCATATTTTCCCAAGCCATTATGCTACGGTTTGTTCTGCTTGGAGCTGTCTTGATAAGTGCAAGTCTTGTTGTGGGCAGATCCAGACCTGAAAAAAGGGGCTGTAACTACAACATGATGTACCTCAAAATCGGAAAAAAGGTCTACAGGGGATGCGAGGAATGCGAATGCATGCCGAACGGTAAGTTGATCATGATCTAGGCTCATGCTGATTCGATTCTTATTCTAGCTCCTTAGGGAAGTCAAAATATATAATTGCTCGTTCCTAGTTTCAATATATTCCTTTTTCAAAATTCGTCAAAATCGTGGCTGCATGCTGTCAACTGAAACTCTACAAACACTTAACAACGTAACAAGATTTAATTTTCCTCAGGAGAAATGGAATGTAGTGAAGGAACTGCATGTTGTCAATACCTTGACAAAAAAGGAAAGACTAAACGAGCTTACCCTGGTGACTCCTACCATGACGGGTGTAACCAATGCACCTGTGGAGATGAGGGCGGTATGGGAGCTTGCACCCGGATGGCATGTCCTGATAAATGTGCCTACAAGAACTGGGATTTGATCTCTGGGTATGCTAAAAAGGGGAACGTTCATGCGTACGATGAGGAAAGAGGCTGTCCTAGAATATGCAAGTGCAAGGTGAAGAAAGGGCAGGCAACCCTTCAGTGTAAAACACCATGTGTTTATTTCTAAACCAAGTTTAAGTTGATAGTTGCGATAAGTTGTTTTAATAGCATTGACGAAAAACAATCTTTCCAAAAAATTAATCATGTTTTTTAAAACTATCCTTTATATGATTTCATCAAAATATTTTACATCCGAATACATATTATCTGTTAAAAATATTATTATCATATTTCATTAATAGCAAACCAATTTGTGTTTTAATTGAATGGAAGCTAAACATAGCATGAGTTAAATAATTGGACCAATACAATTGTTCATGCCATGATGATAATGATATATTTAACAAACCATGCTGGATAAAAAATACCTGCCCCATGATTACTAAATCTATAGAAAGTTTTATTTTATAATAAAACGGGCGGCAAAATTTGTAAAATTTGCAAATTCCTTTCAAATCATCAAAAACCACAAATAGAAATAAAATCCATGAATATCTTTGTCATCTGAGTGCCCCGCAAGATGGGGAGGAGGGGGGGGGGCTGCGAGTTCTTCTGCGGGGGGGAATGCAACGTCAATTAATGTCAGTATTCCATAAAAACCCCAAACTGACATTGACATTAATTGACATTAATTGACATTAATTGACATTAATTGACATTAATTGACATTAATTGACATTAATTGACATTAATTGACATTAATTGACATTAATTGACATTAATTGACATTAATATGTCTTGAAATTTGAGATTATCATTATTCGATAAATATTCAAGATATTCATTGACATACGTTGCATGCCACTTTTCGCGGCGGAAAAATATTATATTATCTCTGATATTTGGATACGAAACATGTATCAAGATATTCACGTCTATGTAAGTTAGACCGGTTCAAAAAAACAAAATGTCCTTGAATAATTATGAGTATGTTCTTATCTGTTGATCCTTAGGTTCAAAGACCACAAAAAAAATTTCAGCTTCCAACTCTTCCATCTTCGGTCCCCACCGGCCACGCCCATATTTTATTGGTTTCTTATACAGGTAAAATATCTAGAATCGGCTTTTTTAGTATGAAGGAGTAATGTTAGCTGTTTAAGATTCGTTATTCAAATATAAATGTCATGAAGGCATTTCGTTTAATGTGGGTTTTAAGTTCTGATGATGTTGAGAACCACGCCCTTGGATGGCCACGCCCATTTAAGAAAATTAAATTTCGGGAAACCGTACTATTTTAGTTTTGTTGTTTAATGATCTGAATTTATTTCACATTTCCATATGTGATAGTAGTGAATAAATTGATGATATAAACGTTCTAAAGTGCTAAAAATATGGTAGAACTACATAATCTCTGGTCGAAAAATATCGTGTCAATTAATGTCAGTATTCCAAAATTTTGCATAACTGACATTGACATTAATTGACATTAATTGACATTAATTGACATTAATTGACATTAATTGACATTAATTGACATTAATTGACGTTGCATTCCCCCCCTTCTGCGGAAGTAATTTACTCTAATACAATGAAATATCTAACGAAATAGAACAGTACGATAGCATATGATTGCTTCTAAATTAAGGCGCTAAACTTCTTTGTGACCCTTTTTTCCTTTGAAGTTTTACGCCATGATTTGTTGTCAGTAAGTGAGAAAGCTGAGAAATATGGCCAGATATTGATTCTGAACTTTTAGCATATGATTGCTTGTAAATTAAGGCGCTAAACTTCTTTGTGACCCTTTTTTCCTTTGAAGTTTTTACGCCATGATTTGTGGTCAGTAAGTGAGAAAGCTGAGAAGTATGGCCAGATATTGATACTGAACTTTTGGGCACTTATTATGAACTTTTAACGTCTCCGCACTATAAGTATAAGAAGTAATCATTCAGTTTTACAATTTACTCATAGTTATATAAATGTCCACTATTTCAGTCCAGTAGCAAGGCACGGGTTCCGAACAGTATTCAGTGCTAAACGAGTGAACAGACCTAAACAGTACCAGTGGGTACAGTCTGCTGAACGAGACGCCTGCAACTTGGACAGGTGAGTCTCAGTAAGCAGGCCCTTTTGTCGCCGAATGGCGGGCGCGCACTACTGTAAGCGCGAGGGCTCTGGTTCTCTGGTTAGAGCAACCCTGGAAGCCCCAACGGGGCCGGGAAGAGCGGAATTTTCAATTTTCATGCTTTTATTACTTTCTAAGGAAAAATCGTTTTGCCATTAGTATGTTAAAATTGGGTTGGCGGGAGTACCATTGCTTTCAACTACGTGGCACACAGGTTACTGTATGTATACTGTATGACCCAGCGTTAAACTAGCAAATTTACTCGTTTCTTTCGGCCTCCCAAGATTTTTGGTCAGTAACGACATCCTGGGAAGATGAGAAGCGTGACCAAATACTGAGCCCTCCCTCAGATAACGAAAATAATGCACCGCACCATTAGAGTATTAAGTATTCAGTTTTATTTACAATGTCTTATAATGTCCAATATTTCAATTGAGCTGAGGCTAATCTAGGGAGCCTTAAAAAATATACCTGAAATGGAGCTCTGCCAAAAATGCGATGTCTTATAATGTCCAATATTTCAATTGAGCTGAGGCTAATCTAGGGAGCCTTAAAAATTATACCTGAAATGGAGCTCTGCCAAAAATACGATTTTAATTTCTGGCACATTCTCATAATTGAATTTCTTTCAGGAAAGAAGATAATCAGAGTGAAATCACCTCCCTCCGGGTTGGGAGTAGTCCTGCTCTAACATCACCACGCCCATCCGTCTCCAACACAGTTTCTTCTAGCAAAACAGTAACTCCCAACAAAACCGTATCACTTAGCAACGGATTCTCCCACCCTGCTAGCCTACAGTTTCTCAGTAACTGCAGCAGACCCAAAACATCCAGCACACACCTGACTCTCAGACCTGCCTCTTCTCAGACTCTACCAGTAGAGTTTCTACATCGTCCTGTGTCTTCTCACATCACAGGAAGGGCCGGTTTGAAAGGGTCTGGTTACTACCTCCCACTTAAAACATATTCTTCTCGGGTGAAGCAAGGGGTGAGTAGAGGAGTTGGAAACATGTCTTTCTGAATGATTAATACTTAGGGGTCGATCACATATTACGTAATCAGCTGAGGAGGGGGGGGGGGGGGGTTCCGAATGTTAACGCTAGTGTACTTTTGACACAATAGCTATGTGTAAAACTGATTACGGGCGGGGGGGGGGGGGGGGGGGGGGTAAAAATGTTCCAAAAAATTATTTCGTAATATGTGAACGACCCCTATTGTCCTTTTTGTTTATTTTTATGTTTCATTCTGTATTCAATTACTTTCCATTCAGGAGATGTTGCGGATTTGTGTAAAAACTGAAGCGATAAAGTGCAGTTCAGCCCCACTAAGAGGATCACACAGGACTCAAGTTCCTGAACCCCCTGCCCCCTCTCCTCTAGTACCACACTGAGAGGATCACACAGGACTCAAGTTCCTGAACCCCCTGCCCCCTCTCCTCTAGTACCACACTGAGAGGATCACACAGGACTCAAGTTCCTGAACCTCCTGCCCCCTCTCCTCTAGTACCACACTGAGAGGATCACACAGGACTCAAGTTCCTGAACCTCCTGCCCCCTCTCCTCTAGTACCACACTGAGAGGATCACACAGGACTCAAGTTCCAGAACCCCCTGCCCCCTCTCCTCTAGTACCACACTGAGAGGATCACACAGGACTCAAGTTCCAGAACCTCCTGCCCCCTCTCCTCTAGTACCACACTGAGAGGATCACACAGGACTCAAGTTCCAGAACCCCCTGCCCCCTCTCCTCTAGTACCACACTGAGAGGATCACACAGGACTCAAGTTCCTGAACCCCCTGCCCCCTCTCCTCTAGTACCACACTGAGAGGATCACACAGGACTCAAGTTCCTGAACCTCCTCTCCTCTAGTACCACACTGAGAGGATCACACAGGACTCAAGTTCCTGAACCCCCTGCCCCCTCTCCTCTAGTACCACACTGAGAGGATCACACAGGACTCAAGTTCCTGAACCCCCTGCCCCCTCTCCTCTAGTACCACACTGAGAGGATCACACAGGACTCAAGTTCCTGAACCTCCTGCCCTTCTCCTCTAGTACCACACTGAGAGGATCACACAGGACTCAAGTTCCTGAACCTCCTGCCCCCTCTCCTCTAGTACCACACTGAGACGATCACACAGGACTCAAGTTCCTGAACCTCCTGCCCCCTCTCCTCTAGTACCACACTGAGAGGATCACACAGGACTCAAGTTCCTGAACCCCCTGCCCCCTCTCCTCTAGTACCACACTAAGAGGATCACACAGGACTCAAGTTCCTGAACCCCCTGCCCCTCTCCTCTAGTACCACACTGAGAGGATCACACAGGACTCAAGTTCCTGAACCTCCTGCCCCCTCTCCTCTAGTACCACACTGAGAGGATCACACAGGACTCAATTTCCAGAACCTCCTGCCCCCTCCCCTCTAGTACCACACTGAGAGGATCACACAGGACTCAAGTTCCAGAACCTCCTGCTCCCCTCTAGTACCACACTGAGAAGATCACACAGGACTCAAGTTCCTGAACCTCCTGCCCCCTCCCCTCTAGTACCACACTGAGAGGATCACACAGGACTCAAGTTCCAGAACCTCCTGCCCCCTCTCCTCTAGTACCACACTGAGAGGATCACACAGGAATCAAGTTCCTGAACCCCCTGCCCCCTCTCCTCTAGTACCACACTGAGAGGATCACACAGGACTCAAGTTCCTGAACCTCCTGCCCCCTCTCCTCTAGTACCACACTGAGAGGATCACACAGGACTCAAGTTCCTGAACCCCCTGCCCCCTCTCCTCTAGTACCACACTGAGAGGATCACACAGGACTCAAGTTCCTGAACCTCCTCTCCTTTAGTACCACACTGAGAGGATCACACAGGACTCAAGTTCCAGAACCTCCTGCTCCCCTCTAGTACCACACTGAGAAGATCACACAGGACTCAAGTTCCTGAACCTCCTGCCCCCTCCCCTCTAGTACCACACTGAGAGGATCACACAGGACTCAAGTTCCAGAACCTCCTGCCCCCTCTCCTCTAGTACCACACTGAGAGGATCACACAGGACTCAAGTTCCTGAACCCCCTGCCCCCTCTCCTCTAGTACCACACTGAGAGGATCACACAGGACTCAAGTTCCAGAACCCCCTGCCCCCTCTCCTCTAGTACCACACTGAGAGGATCACACAGGACTCAAGTTCCAGAACCCCCTGCCCCCTCTCCTCTAGTACCACACTGAGAGGATCACACAGGAATCAAGTTCCTGAACCCCCTGCCCCCTCTCCTCTAGTACCACACTGAGAGGATCACACAGGACTCAAGTTCCTGAACCTCCTGCCCCCTCTCCTCTAGTACCACACTGAGAGGATCACACAGGACTCAAGTTCCTGAACCTCCTGCCCCCTCTCCTCTAGTACCACACTGAGAGGATCACACAGGACTCAGGTTCCTGAACCCCCTGCCCCCTCTCCTCTAGTACCACACTGAGAGGATCACACAGGAATCAAGTTCCTGAACCCCCTGCCCCCTCTCCTCTAGTACCACACTGAGAGGATCACACAGGACTCAAGTTCCTGAACCCCCTGCCCCCTCTCCTCTAGTACCACACTGAGAGGATCACACAGGACTCAAGTTCCTGAACCTCCTCTCCTTTAGTACCACACTGAGAGGATCACACAGGACTCAAGTTCCTGAACCTCCTCTCCTTTAGTACCACACTGAGAGGATCACACAGGACTCAAGTTCCTGAACCCCCTGCCCCCTCTCCTCTAGTACCACACTGAGAGGATCACACAGGACTCAAGTTCCTGGACCCCTGCCCCTCTAGTACCACACTGAAGACTGAGTTGATCTAGCTAATGATTATTTCCGAGATTTTGACTGACTTATATCAGTTTCTCAATGACTAAGCGACGTTTTTGATATGAATAGCTGCCGATGACCCCGAACTTTCAGCTTTAAAACTTTAAAACCAGGATATATTTAATGCGGGCTCTTAATGATTATGATTTGAATCCCTATTTCAAGTTACTCTAGTATAAATCGAGTTTGAAGAATGTTGTCGTGTCGACTATCCAGCTGTTTACATAACACATCTATAAGTATATTCTTAATGATAGTGGAAATCACAGTCAGACTTCCCTATAAAAACCCTCGTGTTTTGATCCTTCAGATCTCATCCTTCATCTTTTCAATAAGTTACAGCAAGGTGTATTCCTTATAAATTTGTGACTGACCATGAGTTTACCAATTTGTGCTCTTAATTATTTCGAACATTATAATCTCATATATCTGTTTCTTCTTAGAATCATTAAGGACGATGTTCCATTAACTTATTTGTATCTATATTCTATCAATTGAATTTGAAAAGAGATGAGGATATTGGAGCTGTCCTCATCAGGACTTATAAAGCGTTAAAAAAGCATTAATACACCGTGTTGCTATTATAAATGCGAAATGTTGAGCTAATTGCCAAACGTATTATTATAACACAGTTCACTTGAATACAATCGTTTGAAAGTGTTAATAAGATTCTCATGATGGAATCTCTGAAATGGGCTCAAATTCATGCATGGTCCTTAACACGGTATCGTCGTTCCGCACTCTTACGACGTTTGCAACTACACCTTGGCTTTGAGCCAAGACTGCGTGAGGGCATTCCCCGCTTCACAAACCGTTTCTCCGGCTCCTGAGAGACACGATTACTATTATTAAAATATTAATTAGTATGTAAAAGAATTCTCGTAGGACTGACCCCCCTACATCTAGTATAGTGCCTCGGCACAGAGTGGCTTAGGGTTACTGAAAAGTAGATAAGCACCTCAGGCCATCCTAACGTTCGGAAGAAACCTGCCCTTGTATCTTGTGTGTGTATGTAAAAGAATATGCATTACTATCATTAATAATGGTTTCTCCGTGTTCACTACTTGACCTTTCATATTGTTTGAAGCACTTATGGCCAAATGAGAACCATCATTAAATACACATGGAGATTCCCTGATTTAGGTATTCCTGGAAAATTATCTAAATTCCAATCTCCATGCTGTTCATTCAGTAAATAATCAAAGTTAATCATATGTCATGATATTGGTATTGAACTGTTCAAAATTACCTTCATGCTGAAAGTCAACATTTTGCCAGTATTTTCATCTCCATGCAGTTCGTAGAGTTTCCGCCTCAATGTGCCTCCAACCATTACACTTTGATCTAAGAAAATTAATTAGTTGTTTGAAGACTTTAAAATAAAAATAAAAAGCAATTTTGAATTGGCAAGTGTTTGTAAACCTTTGTGACTAAATTTGTTCGGTAATATCACAAGTTTCGGCGTGAATTTCATAAGAAAACAATGGAACAGCATTGCATTTTATAAATATAATTCATACCTGTACCGATGAAACCATTCCAGTACTTTACTGGTTCGGCTAGTCGTACCGAAGCTGCTGGTGCACTGACCACGCAAAATGTAAACATTATTAACGGTAGCGCTACCCTGAAAACTGCGGTGTTGCCATCTTGATATGAGTTAAATCGTAATACTAATAACTCGACCAACATGTAGCTAATGAGTAGCAGCACATATGATTCCTGGCATTTCTTAAAACCAAATAGGTCAGTTTATTAAAATGTCACACTTTTCATGCACGTGCAAAAACAAATTACAAAATAAGGGTCAATGATTTACTCACATTTCATTTGCAAATCGACACTTGGTACAAGGGATTTCACTTTTTTTAGATAAAATCTAAAATTTTTACGACTAAATATAGCTGTGAAGGTAACAAATGATCCAGTCTTGAAATATATCACTACCGGCTGTATTTAAAGGGATCCTGTACGCGAATTGCCTTCAAACAATTACCGAAATGCTAAAAATAAATACAGCTCACTCACGTACCTGTTCACCTCTTTATAAGTCTTGTCGAATCATTCACCGAAGTATTAGTAATGTCCAGTAACGTAGGATATAATTTATATCCTAAGTTATATTATACTTTTAACTCTGGCCCTACCGGCCGTATCCAAAAAACCAACCCAATGCACAACCCCAACCCAGAAAATGATCCTACTTTCATCCTAAAGTCTACATTAAAAACTGTTGCGTTGTAGACACGTGACTAGTACTACTGTTGGCCTCTTCTTCCACCGAATATTGGATTGTGCAACATGCTGAACATGGCTAAGCTTGACGCAATATAGTCGTGACCTGAACAGATTTTGTCCATTTAACGTCTCCGGAAAGTGTTTACTCGTACTGTCTTGTGTTTATTTCGGTATCAGTATTTAAAATTATATTTCTATTGATGTCACTGTGCTAAACCCTGATCGAATGTTCCAACTCCTTGGACGAGCGATCCAATACTAATAGTTTTTTGTATTGTCCCAAGCTGAGGATCCTTTGATCTTCATGACAAATCGTGCTGGCAAATGTGAACATAATAAATAATTATCCTTGAACGATGATGCAATTTGCATTTGATATTGCAACTTGACAAATGTTCCTTTACGATTCTCCTTTTACTAAGTTAAAGCGTACAAATCAAAGATTGTCGAGGTACCATAGGCATAATGTGATGCTATTCCTCGTTGTCGGAGAGTTGGAAGTCGGAATCAAAGACTAAAGCTAATCTATTTTGTAGAGCTGAACATCCTACACCCTTTGAACATCCTCGATTTACCTGAAGTTGATCAATCTCAAAAACGGCCAGCTGAAGGCCATTCTTACAGGGTCTAATCGGACTTATCAGAGCTACTTCAGCCAGTGAGTGATGTCAAATTTAAGGTTAAGACTGGATCTGGAGGAGTAATTTTAGGGCCTACGAAATAATTTCCAACTATATTTTGTCGACCTGAACATCCTACATCCTTTGAACATCAGCTTGATTTGCTTAAATCTCAAAAATGGCGAGCTGAAGGCCAGTTTTACTCTTAGTCATACTCTTACAAGTTACAAGTTCCAATCGGAAATATCAGAGCTACTTCAGCCAGTGAGTGATGTCAAATTTAAGGTTAAGACTGGATCTGGAGGAGTAATTTTAGGGCCTACGAAATAATTTCCAACTATATTTTGTCGACCTGAACATCCTACATCCTTTGAACATCAGCTCGATTTGCTTAAATCTCAAAAATGGCGAGCTGAAGGCCAGTTTTACTCTTAGTCTTACTCTTACAAGTTACAAGTTCCAATCGGAAATATCAGAGCTAATTCCGCTAGTGAGTGATGTCAAATTTAAGGATAATACTGGATCTGAGGGGGCCATTTTTGGGCCTACGAAATAATTTCCACCGATATTTTGTCGAGCTGAACGTCTTACACCCTTTGAACATCATTATATAAAAATTCTTGTGAGGCCTAGAATTTATTAACTTTTTGAAAATGGAATTAAAATGGTAGCACGGTAAAATTGGTCCTAGTGGAACCTCATAACCATCTCCAATATTGCAGCACATGCTAATCTTAACATGACCGTCTACAGGCTTGATTGTATTACCATTTCCTACTCTCATATTAATAATCCTAGAATGGATGATCCTGAGATTGCAGAATTGAACTGTTTCGATTTTTTCAATAGATAATGATAGCTAAAGTACGCCAATACAACTGCTATGCAAGGCGTAACTCAAATTGCATATGGTCAAAATAAAATTACGTATTGTGCTACAACTACAAGTACAAACAATTTATGTAATTTGTAAACTGGATTTTGACATTAGTGTAAGGCTGCACTGAGGCGACAAAATTATCTACTCAAAGTCCTAATTCGGCCTGATACAATTATTTCCGTTTTTGATTTCGATTTTCTGCTCGTCTTTTTGCTTTTTCGTATATTACGTATTTCTAACTTAATTTCAAAATAAGTGTATACAAATCAAAATTACGAATAAGATAGTATGGTGACGTGATTTATATTTACCCTTTTAGATTTGTTTTTTAACATATTTGATATCTTAGTCAAAAACACTCTACACTTTGTCAAAAGAGAAACTAGAATTCCCCTTTGTAATTTAATCTTTACGGTTTTCGAGCTTAGTTTATATAACCATGGTTGGTATAAAAGCAGCTACCACAACTTCACAAGTAACATTTCGATCTTGTAACCATATACTGTTGCAACACTCGCCAGAACCAATCTCACGACATGATTCTTGCATTTTTCTTGCTATTTGTTAACGATTTGTTTGTGTTAATCGCTGAAGGAGCAGACGTTGATACTTGGCGGTGTGAGAATGACAGCGCTTCGGAGCTACTCCAGAGAATTTGGGAGGAGAACAGAAACTTGAGCTCGTTGTTTTTAGATCTAGATCCTGAGACATCAAGTAATATTTCTTGAATTCTTTTGTTTTGCACTAGAGACAGAGTACATAAATATTATATTATAGCAGTGAAACTGGTTCCAACTAGATAAAATTAAATTTATTGTTTTTGTTAAACCTTTCAAACTAAGCTACATTCTTCAAGAAACCTTCTGGCTGATTAGGTAATAGGTTCACAGTTTACACCCAATATATCCTATATAATCTCGCCCAGCTGACATTAAAATCGGTACTTGATATTTACTATTTTCTATGATAAAACCAAAGCATGGATTCCGAATATGAACAGTTTTTATCTTTTGCAGAAAAACCCGATCAACTTGAAGAGGACAGAGATTGGGACCAATGTAGGAAAAGTTATTTAAATCTTACAGAGAATCCATGGAAACTAGGCAGACAGCAAAGCATGCAGGTAAATTCATGAATACAGTTATACTTTTTTAATATCGTATTCGGCGGTAGTTATAGAGGCGGATATCAAATTTCAGTTTAAAATACAATTATATATGTGAAAGAACATAAGAAGTCATAATCATATCACAAAACCCCAAATTTCGTATCAAACTGAAAATATGAAACCAAACTCACTGAGATTAAGTTCAGGAAGTGAACAAGCTCATAAAGTCCCTCTCCTGGCGAGGAGTACGCCACCTCAAAAAGAAGTACAAAAGTCTGGAAAGCAAGAAGTTCCGGGTCGCCTGCACACGTAAAAGTAAGCTGTACTACCTGGCAAACCAGCTGAGTGATTGTGCCGGGCTACCGGACGTGGGGAAGGAGGAAATGGAGAAGTTTAATTTTCCCGGAGGGACTAATCGGGAGTACATGGATTTCTTGAAGGAGATTTTAGTGGCGATTGATTATTGGAGCGCCAGATCTTACATGTGTGTTAAGTGCAGGGACTCCGGCGTTAGCAGGCTATATTGTGAGTGCTAGGTACGAACTCAGATTGGTAACTTTGGTAACCAAGCTCGTTTTAGTAACCCCTTTTTTACATTTTGTTTTAAATGTTTGAGCTTTCCCCCATAAATTACGTATGAGATCAAGAACGCAGAACTTATTTTATATCTTTTATGCTAAATTGTGACGATAATAATAGTATTGAATTAAGAGTTGTTGTATTTCGAATTAAAACAAAGATTTTAAAATTTTGATGACATTATTTATAGAACACAAACTGTCCACTAAAAAGAAATAATCGTAAAACATTGTATTGCAGAGTAATAATTACATTTTTACGATTTTTAACGCAGGAGAAAGTTTTCCCTGAGCATATATCCTACTTATATCGTTTTTATATTGAAAAAGTAAGCGGATCTATCTTATCACAGCTGATGTGGCTGGTTTATTCATATTTTCGATTTTCAACTTCAGCTATTTTGTTTATTATATCAAAATTCAAGATGTCTTATTTCTACAGATGCTCCATGAATTCGGAAAAGAGTCAAACTCGATAAAAAGTCAAATAATCGACAATGAAAATTCAAAACTTCGCGTGACACCCTTTACACAACACTAACATAAATAGCACATCCAAAAAATTAAAAAGCAAGACTATATTATAAATCAGTAATAATTAACCAATTATTATCAATAACAATTATCAATAACAATCGGTAGACCACGAACCGGTCTGTGAGCATAAGAAGACTGGTTTTAGCATTTGAATGCAGCTTTGGGAGCACGGTCTGGTTAGAATCCAATATTTACTTAAAAAAGCGGACTTATAGATTCTGATACCGTTTCATTATCTCGTTTTGACACGTATAACTTTTTTTCAAGAAGCACAAACGTTTTGTTCGGGATCAAAATTTCGACAAAAACTTTTGCAATTTATACAGACTATAACCGAATTTATGAATTCAACTCGTTATCAGCAACTATCTCTAATTCTCTACGACTGATTGGTCTCTGTATCCTATCAAGCATTCTAAAAACGACAAAAAAGACGGCCGTACGAAAAATACCCACAACAACAAACATCATCTTCAAACCAGCTGCTAGGCCACGCGCCTCATCTAGTCATCTCAGCAGAACCAAAAGTAAGGAGCCCTGTACCAGTAAATCAGGTATGAGGAATGCAGCAGTAGGATTGTAGCTAGATTTTCTCGTCATCTATAAGATTCTTCAGTTTACAACAAATAACTGACAAGTGCCTACTCAGTCCGTTTTCAATATCGTCGTAATCAAAGAGGGCGTCAAGCAGGGAACCGTCCTTCATCACTTCCTGGACAATGTCCAGCCTGTCCAGACTCTGAAAAGTAAAATCATGGAGTTTAACTTTAAAGTTAAGACTTTGTGAAGTCCAGTTCACTCTAAACGGCTTTCAACACAATCAATTAATCTCAATTTCAGTCAGGAGAAAGTTTCACAATTTTTCTAAAATTATATCATTAGTATACGTACCTTTGGGGATATGTGGCGCTTGATGAGGCTCCTAAGCAGATCGAATACACATCCAAAATAATCTACAAGCAGTTCTCTGTCATACGTGTAGTTAACCTCAGAGAAACTGAGGGAGATACAGTCATGGGGTCAAAAGAAAAAGATAGTGATATAACAAAGATTATGGAGATTTAATACTTTAAAAACATGTTGACAAGTTTATATGATGCTTGACGTGCAATTGATAATTTCTAATAACTAAAAAATAGCACCAACCTGATGAATGTTAGTGCAGTTGTTTTATACTTCGCCTTGAATTCAGAGAATAATATCATTTCAGCATCATTAAATGCATTGTTCTTGAAGAAAACTCCAACTTTGATGAGGAATCGTATCAAATACTTTATAATCTGAGAAACATTGATGTTAAGATCAACAGGTCTTATAATTTTATAGGGGGGTGACATGTCTCCAATGTCTCCAATGTCTCTTGTCTTTTTTGAAAAGATAGGGTGCAGAGACATGTCCTGGAGACATTGGAGACATTGGAGACACAGCTTTTGGAGACATTGGAGACATTGGAGACATTAGAGACAAAGCTTTTGGAGACATTGGAGACACTGGAGACGTAGATGTATGATTGGAGAAGGAGGAGGATCTAGGAGGAAGATGACCCAGGAGGAGGACTCAGGAGGAGGAGGAGGACTCAGGAAGAGGACTCAGGAGGACTGAGAAGGAGGAGGACTGAGGAGTACTGAGGAGGATGGCTGAGGAGAATGGCTGAGGAGGATGACTGAGGAGGATGAATGAGGAGGAGGAGGAGAAGGACTGAGGGGGAGAAGGAGGAGGACCTAGGAGGAGGAGGAGGACCCAGGAGGAGGACTCAGGAGGAGGAGGAAGAGGACTCAGGAGGACTCAGGAAGAGGACTGAGGAGGACTGAGAAGGAGGAGGACTGAGGAGGAGGAGAGACAAAGGAGGAGAAGGAGGAGGACCTAGGAGGAGGAGGACCCAGGATGAGGACTCAGGAGGAGGAGGAGGAGGGGAACTCAGGAAGAGGCCTGAGGAGGACTGAGAAGGAGGAGGACTGAGGAGTACTGAGGAGGATGGCTGAGGAGGATGGCTGAGGAGGATGACTGAGGAAGATGACTGAGGAGGATGACTGAGGAGGAGAAGGAGGAGGAGAAGGACTGAGGAGGAGAAGGAGAAGGTGGAGGAACTAGGAGGAGGAGGACCCAGGAGGAGGACTCAGGAGGAAGAGGAGGAGGACTCAGGAGGAAGACTTAGGAGGAATGAGAAGGAGGAGGACTGAGGAGAACTGAGGAGGAGGAGGAGGAAGACTGAATAGGAGGAGGAGGAGGGGGACTGGGGGAGGACTGAGGAGGAGGAAGACTGACGAGAAGGATGGGGAGGAGGACTGAGGAGGAAGAGGAGGAGGATGAAGAGGAGGAAGAGGACCCAGGAGGAGGAGGACTGAAGAGGAGGATGAGGATGAGGACTGAGGAGGAGGAGGAGGACTCAGGAGGACTCAGGAGGAGGACTCAGGAAGAGGACTGAGGAGGACTGAGAAGGAGGAGGACTCAGGAGTACTGAGGAGGATGGCTGAGGAGGATGACTAAGGAGGATGACTGAGAGGGAGGAGGAGGAGAAGAAGGACTGAGAAGAAGGAGAAGGAAGAGGACCTAGGAGGATGAGGACCCAGGATCGGAGGAGGACTCAGGAGGAAGAGGAGGAGGAAGACTCAGGAGGACTGAAAAGGAAGAGGACTGAGGAGAACTGAGGAGGAGGAGGACTGAATAGGAGGAGGAGGAGGGGGATTGGGGGAGGAGGAGGAGGAGGAGGAGGAGGAGGAGGAGGAGGAGGAGTCTCTAAAAGCTGTGTCTCTAATGTCTCCAATGCCCCTAATATCCATTTTATGTCCCTAATGTCCCCAATGTCTCCAATGTCTTCAATGTCCCCAATGTCTCCAATGTCTCCAAAAGCTGTGTCTCCAATGTCTCCAATGTCTCCAATGTCTTTGTCTTTTTCGAAAAGATAAGGTGCGGGAGACATTTGAGACATGTCACCCCCCTTTATACAGCTTGCAGTGAAACCTGGAACTCTTGAAGAATTTAACTCCAAAAATCTTTAAATACTTTTAGTTTTAATCGTAATTCGCCTATAATATAGATATTTATATCGTATCAAGGTGTTTAAAGTCCATTAAATCCAGCCTCACTTTAGAAATCAGCCGGACTATACAATCTGGAGGAACTAACCTTTTTAGCCTTATCTGCTTGACCGGTGTGCTCCTTTATCAGTTGATAGAGTGTGTTGAGAATAATACCTGTATCTTCATCAATCAGTCCTATTAGAGTCTTCGTAAACGTTTTCCCCAAAATCTGAGGAAACTTGATTCAAGAATTAAATTACGTGGTACAGATCTTCTTTTCATCAGTCAAGGCTACCCAAAATATGCTCGGAGTCCATCAGAAAATCAATTCTCAATGTTCTAAATTGTTGATAAAGACATGAAATTTCTAAACAATGGTATCATTCATCAAGTAATGAGCACGAGCACTCGTATTACGTTAAATGATTTCTCCAAATCATGGAGGGCTGTAATACTAATTACTAATCATAAGAGTACCATGAAGATAAAAGTTTAAATTTCTAATAATTTCTCACGCACTGCCACACTGTGCGATATATATACCTCATAACTAAAGTTGGAGATACAATGTATCTACCAACATGCTTCAATGTTATATTACTTCTGCCCAGTACCAAGTATCAAACCTTCTTCTGAACCCTTATAGTAAGCGAGTGTTTCTGCTTGGTATCTAACTCCAACTCCTCCTCCTCTTCCCCAATATCCTCCTCCCCTCCTGAGTCATGAAGCTCCTCATTGCTCGACAGACTCCCCAAGCTCACCGTATCTCGCTCCACCTCCGCCGCCACCTTGATATCTCGTCTCAGACCTCTGAAGACAGGGGTGTTAGATACCTCTGAAGACAGGAGTGTTAGATACCTCTGAAGACAGGAGTGTTAGATACCTCTGAAGACAGGGGTGTTAGATACCTCTGAAAACAGGGGTGTTAGATACCTCTGAAAACAGGAGTGTTAGATACCTCTGAAGACAGGGGTGTTATATACCTCTGAAAACAGGGGTGTTATATACCTCTGAAGACAGGGGTGTTAGATACCTCTGAAGACAGGGGTGTTAGATACCTCTGAAGACAGGAGTGTTAGATACCTCTGAAGACAGGGGTGTTGGATACCTCTGAAGACAGGAGTGTTAGATACCTCTGAAGACAGGGGTGTTAGATACCTCTGAAAACAGGAGTGTTAGATACCTCTGAAGACAGGGGTGTTATATACCTCTGAGGACAGGGGTGTTGGATACCTCTGAAGACAGGGGTGTTAGATACCTCTGAAGACAGGGGTGTTATATACCTCTGAAGACAGGGGTTTTAGATACCTCTGAAGACAGAGATTTTATGCCTCATATCTTGTCACGGATCTCTGAGAATACGACTATTAGACTTGATGTCATGTTTCAGTTTTCTGAGAACAGGACTGTCAAATTTAACACTTCATCTCAGAAATTACATTCCTCAAGAATATCACTTAAGTGGTTTGAGCAATGATTAATATTAAAATTTAAACGCGACGGACGCAAATTTGACAGCTTACTTGATTAAATTCATTGCCTAAGTGTATTCGACAGTGATCGTTTGAAACCATACGAAGTCGACAAACACCAAAGCAATTTGTCACACTTTAAAGAAACGCAGGCCGAGAAAAGTGAAACAATGGAACGATTAAAGCAGTGAGAGACTATAAAATTGAACGAGGAGATGTGAATAAGTAGGTGTGCGTGGCAAGGGAGCAATCTAGAACAGTCCGTTAGACCAGTATGTGATTATACCTTAAATACACTCGGCTAAGTGGTTTATTTTGCAACACCTTTCACCAGGCAAATCACAGTCCCTGAACTTGCTGAGAGTAAAATATTCATTATTCCTTGTTTGGGCATGCTGCTATGAAAAATTAATTGACGTACTTCGAGCGTGTTGGCAGTTTTTTTTCTTTCTTCAGTGTTATAATTTCCATTCAGGCCAGCTACTTAATCAAGATCAATGTCTGAGTGACAAGCGTCCTTTGAAAACACAGGGTTTGTAAAAACCTTTAATCACAGACAAAGAGTCAAAGATCTCTACTTTGACAATCGAGCAGACAGACATTAAGACAAATTAAGTTGAGCACATGGTCTTAAGGATATATTAATTTGGTAAAGTGGATCTTTAGATTAATTGCATAACGACATGATACGCTATTTAGCGGCTGCAACAAACTCCTAGACATGTTGAAACTACCGGTAATGAAAGAGCGGGGTATTAATGGAGAGGTGATCAACATATTTCTGAAACGTGACAGCGATTAACCAATCAGATTCCAGCAGCAACCAATCAAATCCAAGAATCGCGGAAACTAAAAAAAACAGTTATCAGTCATCTCCACACCTAGTATAATATGATTAAACCCCCAATTGAAATGTAAAGAGAAGTTGAAATAGAAAGTGTAACAGAAAGTGTAACAGAAAGTGTAACAGAAAGTGTAACAGAAAGTGTAACAGAAAGTGTAACAGAAAGTGTAACAGAAAGTGTAACAGAAAGTGTAACAGAAAGTGTAACAGAAAATGTAACAGAAAGTGCAATTTAATAGAATTAGGTGAAGTTTCATTTTGTAAAAAGTGAAGCTAACCTGTGTTTTACAGTTCGTAATTTTTTACTGCTTCATCGTTCCTGGTTGTAAGTAGACGTTGACCCTACCTTCCTAAGATGGAAACTAATTACAACACAACTTATTACAACTCAACTTATTGCAACACAACTAATTACAACTGATTACAACACTATAAATGTATTACATTCAGTTAGGATGATTAACAGTTAACACATGTTTTATTAATTTGAACTGAACAGATTGTATCACAAGGTATATTATAAATAAAAATATCCAATGATACATCCCTGTTATGTTGTATTTAAAGCTTCTTTTGACTAATGAGTTTAAGAATAGGATAGGTCGAAATCAAAGCAATTTATTTAACTTATTAATCTCTGACCTCAATTCCAGAAACTTACGTTGACAAAATTTATAAACTGTTTAAACTTGAAGATACGAAGAGAAATAATATATTTAGGCAACTTATTGGTAGGGTAAGTAGGATACGTTTAAATAAATAATAATAACCGGGTTATACAACTAAATAACGGGTCAGAGAGCATGAAATGGGAATTACATCCAGTACGTCAAATGAAAATTAAAAAGTTCAGAGCCGATTTAAAATTTTACTTTGGATTATTAAGTAGTTAAACATTCCAAACGATATCTTTTAGTAATTAGCAGGCTACAACTAATACTACTGAGATGACTACAACTAATACTACTGAGATGACTACAATTAATACTACTGAGATGACTACAACAAATACTACTGAGCTGAGATCACAACTAATACTACTGAGTTGAATACAGGCTGACTACAGGCTGACTACAGTGTACGTGACTACCAGCTCATTACTATCTGCACTTTACAGGAGCACGTGATATTGACTGACTACTCTAGTAGCACTAGAGCACTTACTATCTAATGTCAATCTACTGATTAATTGCACCACCCTATGATAAGATGCAGTGTTAGTGTCCGGTGGTCCTGTGAAGTGGATAGTTCAGGAGTGAAGACTGTATCGCCCCAGGAGTGAAGACTGTATCACCCCCAGGAGTGAAGACTGTATCACCCCCAGGAGTGAAGACTGTATCACTCTCAGGAGTGAAGACTGTATCACCCCCACTCCCCAGGAGTGAAGACTGTATCACCCCCAGGAGTGAAGACTGTATCACCCCCAGGAGTGAAGACTGTATCACCCCCAGGAGTGAAGACTGTATCACCGCCAGGAGTGAAGACTGTATCACCCCCAGGAGTGAAGACTGTATCACCCCCAGGAGTGAAGACTGTATCACCCCCAGGAGTGAAGACTGTATCGATCCCAGGAGTGAAGACTGTATCCCCCCCCCAGGAGTGAAGACTGTATCACCCTCAGGAGTGAAGACTGTATCCCCCCTCCCCCAGGAGTGAAGACTTTATCACCCTCAGGAGTGAAGACTTTATCACCCTCAGGAGTGAAGACTGTATCACCCTCAGGAGTGAAGACTGTATCACCCCAAGGAGTGAAGACTGTATCACCCCCAGTAGTGAAGACTGTATCACCCCCAGGAGTGAAGACTGTATCACCCCCAGGAGTGAAGACTGTATCACCCCCAGGAGTGAAGACTGTATCACCCCCAGGAGTGAAGACTGTATCAACCCCAGGAGTGAAGACTGTATCACCCCCAGGAGTGAAGACTGTATCACCCCCAGGAGTGAAGACTGTATCACTCTCAGGAGTGAAGACTGTATCACCCCCAGGAGTGAAGACTGTATCACCCCCAGGAGTGAAGACTGTATCACCCCCAGGAGTGAAGACTGTATCACCCCCAGGAGTGAAGACTGTATCACCCCCAGGAGTGAAGACTGTATCACCCCCAGGAGTGAAGACTGTATCACCCCCAGGAGTGAAGACTGTATCACTCTCAGGAGTGAAGACTGTATCACCCCCACTCCCCAGGAGTGAAGACTGTATCACCCCCAGGAGTGAAGACTGTATCACTCTCAGGAGTGAAGACTGTATCACCACCAGGAGTGAAGACTGTATCACCCCCAGGAGTGAAGACTGTATCACCACCAGGAGTGAAGACTGTATCACCCCCAGGAGTGAAGACTGTATCACCCCCAGGAGTGATGACTGTATCACCCCCAGGAGTGAAGACTGTATCACCCCCAGGAGTGAAGACTGTATCACCCCCAGGAGTGAAGACTGTATCACTCTCAGGAGTGAAGACTGTATCACCCCCACTCCCCAGGAGTGAAGACTGTATCACCCCCAGGAGTGAAGACTGTATCACTCTCAGGAGTGAAGACTGTATCACTCTCAGGAGTGAAGACTGTATCACCCCCACTCCCCAGGAGTGAAGACTGTATCACCCCCAGGAGTGAAGACTGTATCACTCTCAGGAGTGAAGACTGTATCACCACCAGGAGTGAAGACTGTATCACCCCCAGGAGTGAAGACTGTATCACCACCAGGAGTGAAGACTGTATCACCCCCAGGAGTGAAGACTGTATCACCCCCAGGAGTGATGACTGTATCACCCCCAGGAGTGAAGACTGTATCACCCCCAGGAGTGAAGACTGTATCACCCCCAGGAGTGAAGACTGTATCACTCTCAGGAGTGAAGACTGTATCACCCCCACTCCCCAGGAGTGAAGACTGTATCACCCCCAGGAGTGAAGACTGTATCACTCTCAGGAGTGAAGACTGTATCACCACCAGGAGTGAAGACTGTATCACCCCCAGGAGTGAAGACTGTATCACCACCAGGAGTGAAGACTGTATCACCCCCAGGAGTGAAGACTGTATCACCCCCAGGAGTGATGACTGTATCCCCCCCAGGAGTGAAGACTGTATCACCCCCAGGAGTGAAGACTGCATCACCACCAGGAGTGAAGACTGTATCACCCCCAGGAGTGAAGACTGTATCACCACCAGGAGTGAAGACTGTATCACCCCCAGGAGTGAAGACTGTATCACCCCCAGGAGTGATGACTGTATCCCCCCCAGGAGTGAAGACTGTATCACCCCCAGGAGTGAAGACTGCATCACCACCAGGAGTGAAGACTGTATCACCCCCAGGAGTGAAGACTGTATCACCCCCAGGAGTGATGACTGTATCCCCCCCAGGAGTGAAGACTGTATCACCCCCAGGAGTGAAGACTGCATCACCACCAGGAGTGAAGACTGTATCACCCCCAGGAGTGAAGACTGCATCACCACCAGGAGTGAAGACTGTATCACCCCCAGGAGTGAAGACTGTATCACCACCAGGAGTGAAGACTGTATCACCCCCAGGAGTGAAGACTGTATCACCCCCAGGAGTGATGACTGTATCCCCCCCAGGAGTGAAGACTGTATCACCCCCAGGAGTGAAGACTGCATCACCACCAGGAGTGAAGACTGTATCACCCCCAGGAGTGAAGACTGTATCACCACCAGGAGTGAAGACTGTATCACCCCCAGGAGTGAAGACTGTATCACCCCCAGGAGTGATGACTGTATCCCCCCCAGGAGTGAAGACTGTATCACCCCCAGGAGTGAAGACTGCATCACCCCCAGGAGTGAAGACTGTATCACCCCCAGGAGTGAAGACTGTATCACCCCCACTCCCCAGGAGTGAAGACTGTATCACCACCAGGAGTGAAGACTGTATCACCCCCAGGAGTGAAGACTGTATCACCCCCAGGAGTGAAGACTGTATCACCCCGGGGAGTCCACTAATACATGATCTATTCTAGACTGCTGGGAAACTGACCGATCATTACATGACACATATTGCAGGACTGTAGAACGTATAACAAATCAATATATATTAGATCAGTATGTAATTATGAGGGCTGCTCGGCAAACAATCAGTGACCTCCGCAAACAATCAGCGTCCTCCGCAAACAATCAGCGTCCTCCGCGATTTGCAGACAATCAGTTCCGCGGAGTGCAGATACTGACATGAACCTAGAGATGAAATTAAAATTCGGAGACCTGTTGAGTCATTAACTTAATAATGCACAGCCACTGTGTTGTGACCAGTGAATGGTGGTGATGATTTCAGAATATATCTTATCGGTTTATATCAACACTATATTTGACACCGTTTCCGCAGAAATCCCGCGCTACATGCAACTAAACTCTGATAGTAACCAAACACTGCTTTCGCAACAAACTGCATTTAGACGGCATCGCGGAACAATGTGTCGTTAAACAGCACAACTCTCACAAGTAGTAAAGTAGTAAAGTATTAACCCATCTATAATCTATATTAGTACGACAAACGTGCTAACCACTAATAAAGAACAGAGATCCTCTCTTAAATAATCCCACTGCACTTACACTAGACTCACCTGCAATAGTAACGATAACGGGTGCTAATGTGTTGTAGTAAGGTAATACAGAATACTACTATACTAGTAGTTGCGGTCAGCTCACCTAACACAAACATATAACACGCGTGGTTACTACAAAAAGTACAAACTAGCTCACTTACAGTGATATATATTGTGGGGTGCTGCAGCTGCCAGGTGCTGGATAGTTTTAACAAGGAGTTTAGTGCACAATGTGGATCGTGCACTTTACGGCTTCCCTGGGTTGAGGGGGTTGAGGGGTTCCCTTTATAGTGGGGAAGCGTGGCAATTGCATGTGGAGTTGTGACAATGTTTAACATTTGACTGCACCATGTTGTAACTTATACTTGTTATTTTTATTACATTGTAACTTATCACTAATTTCTACTGTGAAGCATCTCTCCCATAATGTTTCGCTTACTTAATTCTGATTTTACCATTTGATACTTGAATTAGAAACGCTTTTCTGTATAAATTATATTGATTCCGCTAAGAATAAGAGAGTTTATATCGAACAACACGTTTATATTTTAAATCTAATACCGATTACAGATACTGAATTTATCCTACGAAGGGTTTCTTATTTCATCATTTGCATTTTAGACATAACAGTCGGTGTCACAAAGACTTTCGTACACTTACAAAGAATAAATTTTACCGTTACCGGCCATCTTTAACCACATTTTTGCCATTTTTGATGTCGCCACCAAGGTTCAATTGCTATATTAGCTGAAGCCGGCATGGCTGTTTTTTGCTATATTCGAGCAACAACCTTTACAAAGGAAATAAACAAATAATCATTGGTTCCCCAAGCAGAGGTCACACTACTGATGGAACACAATAAATATAAATATATTTCAACAGCAACCATGGCAACCTCTATACTCTACAATGCAGGGAGCTATACAGTTTCAATATACAAATTAGAATAAGTCACACGTGCCTAGCAACGATAGGGTGTCAGCAGAATCGTCAGCGGAGGTCAGAATCGTCAGCGGAGGTCGAAACGTCAGCGGAGGTCGAAACGTCAGCGGAGGTCGAAACGTCAGCGGAGGTCGAAACGTCAGCGGAGGTCGAAACGTCAGCGGAGTATGAAGTATGGAGCCTTACAACACTCCAGCGGAGTCTCAGAGACTGAGGCTGTTGTACCAGTATTGGTATTTACTGGAAACTATGGACTAAATAATTGTTATTCCGACAAAAATTTCTAGAAACGTCCGTTTGATGGTAGCACATTATCTATTAGGATAGGTATTCGTCCGTGACAAACTGTCAACATTGTACTTATAGAGTTATAGGCCATACATCCATCAAACCACTTCAAGCAACCTTGTACGGAAGTTTTGCTGAATAAATGAAGATACCGTTAATACTACTACTGCTACTACTATAACTATAACTATTACTACTGCTGCTGCTGCTACTATTACTACTATTACTATTAAATGAATACGTATGAATATAACGCTATAAGTATTTATATATAGCGTTATATTCATAGTTATAACTATAAGCGTGTTGCGGAAATTACCGTTATTTATAATTAGTGTTTATATAACTTTAAGGAATCTGACACTCTTCTGCTTAGGAGGGATGACAGT